TTTTTTAAAACTGGTTTTTAGTTATCAGCATAGACACACAAACACCTGTGATGCTCAGGCAAACCAAGGAATGTGTTGTTATCTCTCTTGAGTTTTAGATCCCGAAATCTGTGCTCATAGCTGCTGTCTTCACAGTTCATCATGGGTCTTTGCCTTAGTACTTAAAATAAATAAAGTTTGATATCCTTAAGTGTTTCAATAATCATAAAAAGTATCCAGGAAGTTTGTGGTGCACATCTTTATCCCAGCATTCAGGACGCAGAGACACCAGGATCTCTGTGAGTTTGAGGTCAGTCTGATCAACAAACTATGTGCCAGCACACACTCTTAAGCTATACAGAGAAACCCTGTCATGAAATCAAAACAAAGCAAAAAATTATAAATAAAATTTTGCAACCAAAAATGGACCAGACACAAAGATTTAAATTTTATTAAGTGAAAACATATAGCTATTTCCACAGATTCACAAACATGTACAGAAGATGTTTTACAAAGGCTACATAAGTTAAGTCAATAAATTTTCATCATCCACAGTGCTCATCCCTCAGAAGCAATGGCTTCAGTCTGCTTTAAACACTGGGCCACCCTCAAACTCTACACTTAATCTTGGTGTTTACAGAAGACCCAAAGCTGTGTGAGTAATATTCAAAATTGTCTTCTTTTCTCTATATTATTATAGAGTATAGATTGTCCCTGAGTAAAGGATTCACTTATCCTGAAAAACAAACAAAGTTATAGTTGTTTGTTAAACATCCAACATGCACATATTGCTAGAGTAGAGACAGGTAGTATGGACCAATGATGACCAGGCTCGGCGGCGATCTAAGTCATGCATTGACGATGACTACATCACTTCCTGTCTGAGGTTCACAGCATCACACATCTCACACCTCCCTCTTAGCCAGGTGACAAAAGTTAGACATATGGAGGACATGCTGGACATTAGAATCAGGCACTTTCATGCATGTCCTCAGTGCATTAATGAAACATGGTATAAATATACATATAAATGCAAATATATTTATTGAGGCATTGATCAGTTAGAAATTAAATATTGCACCACAAATGCATCACAACATGCATAAAATATGGAAATCAGTTAAGAAATAATTGGCATAAAGATGTATAGAAACATTATGCAAGTTCACATATGATATATAAATAATGGATTAAGCCCCAGAGAGGGTCAACACCTTACTTGCTTTTTTAAGACACCATCAACAATTGAATCCTAAGTAACAAGTAGTGAAAGGAAAATGTAGAAATGACTTGAGAAACTTCAATCATTTTCTTACCTTCCCTGCTCTGTCCTTCCTTCATGGATGCTGAGTGACACACTGTTGCCTAGCTGGGAGGTCCATGGTTGCCCTATCCCCATGTGTGAGGATCCAGAGAACTGATGTAAGTGGAGTCACAGTTCTTGTCTTGCTTTGGTTGCCTTGGTAAGACACTCCTGTCTTGATGAAAGCATGCATAGGCTCCTGTTAGGAAAACTGTTACTGTGAGCTCAATTAAACATGGCCATGAGACAGTGCTGAGGGCTCTGAAATTAAGAGAAGAGACAGAGAGTCATGGTGGCACAAACTGTTGAATTACCTCAATATCTCAGTATAAGGATTTGGTGACCAATACTTATGTAACTAGCACAAGAGACACAGATATTTAGGTAATAATAACACAGAGAAAGAGAAAGAGGAAGGCAAAGGTGGTGTTGGATCAATGATGACCACTGATGATGTCTGATCCGGGATCATGACTATGGGTCTGGGAGTCTGAGGCTCACAGGAGAACATATGTAGTGTGGGTTGTGACACAGATGTAGGTGTTATATATTGAGTGTGTGTCACAATATTTATGTGCAGGAGATCTCATTTTATTGTATATATATTGCGTGTGTACATATACATATACATATAAGTATACATCATATATATACATATGAATGAAAGAGTGTCCAGCATTCTCCATAATAATACTAAATGTTAATAGTAACAGTATGTATTTATTTCTCAGAAACCTTCTAGTAATATATGTGCAGAGTTAGAATACCTAAGCTGAGGATGCTCTCTGTTGTTTAAAGCAGTGTCCAAAATTCTTGTTAGGATTACAACTGATTCTCCTGTGTATTTTCTCATGAAGAATATATTATAGGTTTATATACTTAGATGACTAAAATAAATAGATACAACACTAGGGCCATGGTACAGAAGAAGATTGTGTTTTAATCCTTTCTTCTTTTCATCTCTGTGGATATTCCAAAGCTGAAGTTACCCTTACGTGTGTATCATGAGGTCCTCGGCTAGCCTAGGGTCTTGGGAGCACGGGGCGCCATGTAAGTATAGTCCATGTTCTTGGTTACTTTTACTGCTACTCCTTATTGTTAAATGAATAACAATTTTTTTCAGTAATGACACAGCTGGTAGTGACAGATGAAAAATATCCTTGGCACACTTAATGTCTCTAAGATAAAAATTACCTGATGACATACTGAATGATCTAGGAATTGCAGTGAAACATAAAAGGAATATAATTGATACCTTAATTTTATATGTCCATATCAGCCTATGTGTATCTATCTATCTATCCATTCACATATCCATCAACTATCTTTCATCTATCTATTATGTAAATGAAATCATCTGACATTAATATCATCATTTTTCTGTGGAATCACAACTGTAGTGGCCATGCCATAAATATAGAAAAAGCATATTGATATCTCAGTTAAGGAATCCAAAGTAGAGCCTAGTGCTGGCCTATTGTGAAACACGTAGATGGTTGATCTGCTCCCATATGACTCACTAGGAAACACAAATAAATTTAGCCATTTATCATTTTCCTTGGTGTTTGTGTTCATGTATTTAGACATACCTTAACATACAGTTTTTACACTTTCCTTGAAGTTTTGTGGTTAAAGTATCCTATATGCAGGCAGAGGGCTCCATGTGTATTTATGTTTGACAAACAGTTGGGGAGACTGATTTAGGATCTTTTTCCTTCTACTTAGGTTCACTCAGTGTATTTAGATGTCCCCTGATGAATAGGTGGTGTGTAGCTAGACAGACACATGGACCAGTCTTGGTTCTCATTTTGTTGCCTCATGTTCAGTTGTAGGGAAATTAATATGTGACTCAGTGGCTTTTCAGTGAGCTTGCTTACAACACTCCAGTACACGGTTAGGCCCAATCAATTATTGTTAAGTTTACCTGGCTATAAACATCTGAGTGTAGACTGAATCTTCCTATCTATCCACTCTTTTAATATTTCTTGTTTTTTTAAACTGTTTTTTACTCCTTATGATAGACACACATACACCTGTGATGCTCAGGCAAACCAAGGAATGTGTGGTTATCTCTCTTGAGTTTTAGATCCGGAAATCTGTGCTCATAGCTGCTGCCTTCACATTTCACCATGGGTCTTTGCTTTAGTGTTTAAAGGAAATACAGTTTGATATCCTTAAGTTTTTCAAACTTAATCATAAAAAGTATCCAGGATGTTTGTGGTGCACATCTTTATCCCAGCATTCTGGACACAGAGATACCAGGATCTCTGTGAGTTTGAGGTCAGTCTGATCTACAAACTATGTGCTAGCACACACTCGTAAGCTACACAGAGAAACCCTGTCATGAAAACAAACAAAGCAAAAAATTTTCATTAAAATTTTGCAACCTAAAATGGACCAGATGCAAAAGTTTAAATTTTATTAAGTGAAAACATAAGTGAATACTTATGGCTATTACCACAGATTCACAAATATCTACATAAAAATTTTTACAAAGGCTACATAAGTTAAGTCAATAAATTTTCATCATCCACAGTGCTCATCCCTCAGAAGCAATGGCTTCAGTCTGCTTTAAACACTGGGCCACCCTCAAACTCTACACTTACTCTTGGTGTTTACAGAAGAC